ATCTCTGATAAAATAGACTTTAAAGCAACAAAGATAAAAAGAGACAAAGAAGGACATTACATAATGGTAAAAGGATCAATACAACAAGAAGAGTTAATGATCCTAAATATATATGGACCCAATACCAGAGCACCCAGATATAGAAGGCAAGTTCTTAATTACTTACAAAGAGACTTAAACTCCCACACAATCATAGTGGGAGACTTTAACACTCCACTGTCAATATTAGACAGATCAACCAGACAGAAAATTACCAGTGATATTCAAGACTTGAACTCAGACCTGGAACAAGCATACCTGATGGACATTTACAGAACTCTCCACCCCAAATCCACAGAATATACATTCTTCTCAGCACCACATCACACCTACTCTAAAATTGACCACATAATTGGAAGTAAAGCACTCCTCAGCAAATGCAAAACAACTGAAATCATAACAAACAGTCTCTCAGACCATAGTGCAATCAAGTTAGAACTCAGAATTCATAAACTAACTCAGAACCACACAGATTCATGGCAACTGAACAACTGGCTCTTGAATTTTGAATGGATAAACAATGAAATGATGGCAGAAATAAAGAAGTTCTTTGAAACCACCGAGAACGAAGACACAACATACCAGAATCTCTGGGACACATTTAAAGCAGTCTCTAGAGGAAAATATATAGCTATAAGTGCCCACATGAGAAGAGTGGAGAGATACAAAATTGACACCCTATTGTCAAAATTGAAAGAGTTAGAGGAGCAAGATCAAAAAAACTCAAAACCTAGCAGAAGACAAGAAATAACTAAGACCAGAGCAGAACTGAAGGAGACAGAGACAAGAAAAACCCTTCAAAAAATCAATAAATCCAAGAGCTGGTTTTTTGAAAAGATCAACAAAATAGACAGACCACTAGCCAGATTGATTAAAAAGAAAAGAGAGAACAACCAAATAGATGCAATAAAAAGTGATAAAGGAGAAATCACCACAGATTCCACAGAAATTCAGACCATCATCAGAGAATATTACAAACAACTTTATGCACATTAACTAGTAAACCTGGAAGAAATGGATAAATTCCTGGACACTTGTGTCCTCCAAATCGTAAACCAGGAGGAAGTTGAAACTGTGAATAGATCAATAACAAGGTCTGAAGTTGAGGCAGAAATTAAGAGCCTACCACACAAAAAAAGCCCAGGTCCAGATGGGTTCACAGCCGAATTCTACCAGACACACAAAGAGGAACTGTTACCATTCCTTCTGAAACTATTCCAAATAATCCAAAAAGAGGGAATCCTTCCCAAATCATTTTATGAGACCAACATCATCCTGATACCAAAACCCGGCAGAGACTCAACAAGAAAAGAAAACTTCAGGCCAATATCCATGATGAACATAGATGCAAAAATCTTCAATAAAATACTGGCAAGCCGATTGCAACGGCACATCAAAAAGTTTATCCACCATGATCAAGTAGGATTCATCCCAGGGATGCAAGGCTGGTTCAACACATGCAAGTCTATAAAAGTAATTCACCACATAAACAGAACCAAAAACAAAAACCACGATTATCTGAATTGACGCAGAAAGGCCTTTGAAAAAATTCAACAGCCCTTTATGCTAAAAACCCTCAATAAACTCAGTATTAATGGAACATATCTCAAAATAATAAAAGCTATTTATGACAAACCAACAGCCAATATCATACTGAATGGGCAAAAACTGGAAGCATTCCCTTTGAAATCTGGCACTAGACAAGGATGCCCTCTCTCACCACTCCTATTCAATATAGTACTGGAAGTTCTAGCCAGAGCAATCAGGCAAGAAAAAGAAATAACGGGTATTCAAATAGGAAAGGAGGAAGCCAGATTGTCTCTATTTGCAGACGACATGATAGTATATCTAGAAGACCCCATCATCTCAGCCCAAAAACTCCTGAAACTGATAAGCAACTTCAGCAAAGTCTCAGGATATAAAATCAATGTGCAAAAATCACAAGCATTCCTATACACGAATAACAGGCTTAAAGAGAGCCAAATCAAGAACGAACTGCCATTCACAGTTGCTACAAAGAGAATAAAATACCTAGGAATACAACTAACAAGGAAAGTAAGGGACCTCTTTAAGGAGAACTACAAACCACTGCTCAACGAAATAAGAGAGGACGCAAACAGATGGAGAAGCATTCCATGTTCATGGTTAGGAAGAATCAATATCGTGAAAATGGCCATACTGCCCAAGTAATTTACAGACTCAACACTTTCCCCATCAAGCTACCATTGACTTTCATCACAGAACTGGAAAAATCCACGTTGAACTTCATATGGAACCAAAAGAGAGCCCACATAGCCAAATCAATTCTAAGCAAAAAGAACACAGCAGGAGGCATCACATTACCAGACTTCAAACTATACTACAAGGCTACAATAATCAAAACAGCATGGTACTGGTACCAAAACAGAGATATAGACCAATGGAACAGAACAGAGGCATTGGAGGCAACACAACATATCTACAACCATACAATCTTTGATAAACCTGACAAAAACAAGCAATGGGGAAAGGATTCCCTGTTTAATAAATGGTGTTGCGAAAACTGGCTAGCCATGTGCAGAAAGCAGAAACTGGACCCCTTCCTGACACCTTACACTAAAATTAACTCCAGATGGATTAAAGACTTAAACATAAGACCTGGCACCATAAAAACTCTAGAAGAAAATCTAGGCAAAATCATTCAGGACATAGGAGTAGGCAAGGACTTCATGACCAAAACACCAAATGCATTGGCAACAAAAGCCAAAATAGACAAATGGGACATAATCAAACTCCACAGCTTCTGCACTGCAAAAAAAAACAGTCACTTGAGTGAATCGGCAACCAATAGAATGGGAAAAAATTTTTGCAGTTTACCCATCTGACAAAGGGCTGATATCCAGAATTTACAAAGAACTCAAACAGATTTACAAGAAAAAAACAAACAAGCCCATTCAAAAATGGGCAAAGGATATGAACAGACACTTTACAAAAGAAGACATACATGAAGCCAACAAACATATGAAAAAACGCTCATCATCACTGGTCATCAGAGAACTGCAAATCAAAACTACATTGAGATACCATCTCACGCCAGTTAGAATGGCGATCATTAATAAATCAGGAGACAACAGATGCTGGAGAGGATGTGGAGAAATAGGAACACTTTTACACTGTTGGTGGGAGTGTAAATTAGTTCAACCATTGTGGAAGACAGTGTCGCGATTCCTCAAGGACCTAGAAATAGAAATTCCATTTGACCCAGCAATCCCATTACTGGGTATATATCCAAAGGACTATAAATCGTTCTACTATAAGGACACATGCACACGAATGTTCATTGCAGTGCTGTTTACAATAGCAAAGACCTGGAACCAACCCAAATGCCCATCAATGATAGACTGGACAGGGAAAATGTGGCACATATACACCATGGAATATTATGCAACAATCAAAAACGATGAGTTCGTGTCGTTTGTAGGGACATGGATGAATCTGGAAAACATCATTCTTAGCAAACTGACACAAGAACAGAAAATTAAATACCGCATATTCTCACTCATAGGTGGGTGATGAATAATGAGAACACACAGACACAGGGAGAGGAGCACTACACACTAGGGTATTGGGGGGAATAGGGGAGGGACAGCAGTGGGGGGAACTGGGGAGGGATAATATGAGGAGAAATGCCAGATGTGGGTGAAGGGGAGGAAGACAGCAAATCACACTGCCACGTGTGTACCTGTGCAACTACCTTGCATGTTCTGTACATGTACCCCAAAACCCAAAATGCAATTTAAAAAAAAGAAAAGAAAATATTATATGAGGATAGCTTTGGGTTAATTTAATTTTTTGTTAGATCTTATTACAAGATAAGTCAAACTTGTTAGATGGCACATTTGAACTTTGTGCAATTTACTATATGTCAGTTTAAATCCAGTGAAACCGTGTTTACTTTTTAAATGTCCGGCCGGGCACAGTGGCTCAAGCCTGTAATCCCAGCACTTTGGGAGGCCAAGGCAGGTAGATCACGAGGTCAAGAGATCGAGACCATCCTGGTCAACATGGTGAAACCCTTTCTCTACTAAAAATACAAAAAGTTAGCTGAGTACGGTGGCGCGTGCCTGTAATCCCAGCTACTCAGGAGGCTGAGGCAGGAGAATTGCCTGAACCCAGGAGGCGGAGGTTGCGGTGAGCCGAGATCGCGCCATTGCACTCCAGCCTGGGTAACAAGAGCGAAACTCCGTCTCAAAAAAAAAAAAAGTCCAAGAAGAGTTAAAGGATCCCTTTCCTTTTCCTGCCTTAGACATCACATAATAAGAGAAAAGAAGACAAGGAATTTCAGTTTCTCTTATCAGTGCTGAAGCTAAACTAAATGAAAGTTTCAGAGGTCTTTGTGAGCTGACCTCAAATCAAAATAGAATTTAAATTGTCGTTTTTATCTAAAAACTTGGTCTTATCTACAATCAACATATTTGCCAATGAATTAGGCTTATTCAGAATTTGGGAATTGGCTGTATCTTTTTATCAACAATTATCTCCTTTAATTTGTTTACTAATCTGTGTTAATTGTAGAACAATCAGGAAATAACAATGTACAGACAAAAATCACATTTAATCTTATCTCTGGAGATCCTCTTACAATCAACTTTTGATTCTTTTAATTCTAATTAAAGGCTATGGATAGAAATTATCTGAGGTGCTACAAAAGCCAAAAATAATATATATTTGGCTTTAGGAATTCCCTTGGATTTGATTTTTATATATTGGGAAATCATTCACCTATCAAATTACTACTATCTTTATGCCTTGAAAAAGTAATTATTTCATTATAAAGGACTTCTTTGCCAGCTCCTTATGAACTAGAATAAGTAGTAAGATTTATGCCCTTATTATTAATTCACATAAATTAGATACAGTTATAATATGATTTTCTCAATTCAGAATTTACTTCCTGTATTCATACTGATAGGTAGAGATGACACCACAAAGATCCCCTGCCTGCCCACTCATGCACAGACACACACTTAAACAGAATATCTTACAGTCTAGTTTGCTAACATTGTACTACTTGTGGCATTAAAAACAGATTATTGAATTCTGGTTATGCCTTTATTTATAAAAAATACAAATATTTGGAAGCAAGTTTTATCAATATTTCTTCAAAAAGTTACTACCATGATTTTTTAAATCTTCTGATGCCTAAGAATGGTGGTGGTAATAAAGCAAAATGTAACGGATGATCTGTTTTTCCTTTCACTTTGCTTTGGCTTCCACTATTGTCTTTTCCTTGCCTTATCCATTTCTTTTTCCTCATTATTTTCTCTTTTCCTTATCTTCACAAGGACACAGCCTGTTAGCCAAAATCTCAGTTGCTTCACATATTCAATTACATGGTCTTTTCTGAGTCTTGCCTTCAATTCACCACCAACAAGAACTTTTATTGCAGGTTATACTCTAATTTCACTTTTATTAATCTCACAGAATAAACAAATTTGGAAAACACTGGTATGGATTGTACTAGGGAAAGAGCATTTGTGAATCAGAAAGATTGGTCTCTGAGATCAAACACACTTGGGTTGTAATCCCAACTCTTTCCTTAACTAATTAGGTAACTCAGTTAATAGCTTAAATGCACTGATTCTCATCTATAGAAAACCATGACAATGTATACTTCATAGGCTTCTTCTTTTCTCTATCATTCATAGAAACAGAAGTAGAATCAAAAACCTAAAATCAAAATCTCTCAGAAGGATTTTCCCTTTGACCAAGAGTAACCTCAGAACTTCTGGGTAAATCACTTGTCTTCTCATCTGTAGGCTGCTCTGCTCCTCTTGCTGTCTCCTACCTTTTCAGCTGCCTCTACAATCTCCTCAGCTCCAGCACATATTTCCTGCCCTTGACTTGCTTGAGATACCACTCCCAGCCAGAAGTTCTGGTTTGATCTAGAGCAAATGAAAAGTCAGAGAACTGGAATCAAGCAGTGGGTTACAAATCTAGACTCTGCCACTTACTATCAAACTTTAGCAAGTGATATAGTTTGGAGGTTTGTCCCCTCCAAATTCATGTTGAAGTATGATTCCCATTGCTGGTGGGAGGGCCCAGTAGGAGGTGATTGGGTTGTGAAGGCAGATCACTCGTGAATCACTTAGCACCATCCCCTTGGTAATAAGTGACTTTTTGCTCAGTTAGTTCACATGAGATCTGGTTGTTTAGAAGTCTGGGACCTCCCCATTCCTCACTCTCTTGTTCTTGCTCTCACCACATGATGCATCTGCTCCCTCTTCACTTTCTGCCATGATTGTAAGCTTCCTGAACCTCTCGCCAGAAGCTTGCTGGCACCATGTTTCCTGTGCACTCCTCAGGACCCTGAGCCTGTTAAACCTATTTTCTTTATAAGTTACCCAATCTCATGTACTCCTTTGAAGTAGCATAAACAAACTAATTACAGAACATTGGTACCAAGAAGTGTGATATTGCTATATAGACACCTGAAAATGTGGAAGCAGATTTTGAACTGGGTAATGAGAAACGATTGGAAATTTGAAGAGCTCAAAAGAAGACAGGAAGATGAGAGAAAGTTAACCCTTCTGAGAGACTTGTTAAGTGGTTGTGACCAAAATGCTATTGGAAATTTGGACAGTGAAGGCCAAGCTGATGAGGTGTCAGATAAAAATGAGGAATTTATTCATACTCATTTCCATCTGGGACCTCGTCAGCTTGACCTACATTGTAAAGATTACCCATGCTATACCTTAGCAAAGAATTTGGCTGCATTGTGTGTATGACCTAGGGATCCGTGGAAGTTTGAACTTAAGAGTAATGACTTGGAGTATCTTGCAGAAGAAATTTCTAAGCAGCAGATCATTCAAGGTGTGGCAAGTCTGCTTCTAACAGTCTATGACTAAATAATAAAGCAAAAAAAAAATGACTTAAAGTAGGAGCTTATATTTAAAAGGAAAGCAGAGAAGAAAAGTTTGGAAAATTCACAGCCTGGCCATGTGGCAGAGGAGAAAACAGCAATTTAGAAGAGAAATTCAAATAAGCTATGGAGCAACCACTTGCTAGAGAGATTAGCATGACTAAAAGGGAACCAAGTGCTAATAGTAAAGGCAATGGGAGTAAGTTCTCGAAAGAAGTGCACACAGATCTTGGAGACAGCCCCTCCCATTACAGGGCCAGAGGTCTCAGAGGAAAGAATGATTTCAGGGATCAAACACAGGGTACTGCTGCCCCATGAAGACAGGACACTGCTCCCAGCATCCAGGTTGCTCTGGCTCCAGCCTGGCTCAAAGTGCCCCAAGTACAGCTCAAGCTGCTGGTTTGGAGAGTCAACCCACCACAAGCCTTCGTGGTTTCCATGTGGTTTTAAGTCTGGGGCACACAGAATGTAATTGTGAAAGAGGCTTGGCAGATTCTCCCTAGATTTCATAGGATGTATGGAAAAGCCTGGGTGCCCCGGCAGAAGTCTGACACAGAGGCAGGGATTCCCAGGGAAATTCTACTAGGCCAATGTCAAGGGAAAATGAGTTAGAGCCCCACACAGAATTCCCACCACAGCACTGCCTAGTGGAGCTCTGGGAAGGGGGCTACTACCCCCCAAACCCCAAAATAGTAGATTCACTAGCAGCTTGCATCCTGAGCCTAGAAAATCTGTAAGCACCCAACTACAACCATGAGACCAGCTGCAGAGGGTGTACACTACAAGGCCACAGGGGTGAAGTTGCTCAATACCTTGGGAGCCCACCCCCTCGCACCAGTGTGCCCAGGATATGGGAGATGGAGTCTAAAGGGATTATTTTGGTGCTTTCAGATTTAATGACTGCCCTGATGGGTTTTAGACTTGCATGGGGCCTGTAGCCCCTTTCTCCTGGCCAATTTCTCCCTTTTAGAATGGAAATGTATACCCAATGCCAGTACCACCATTGTCTCTTGGGAGTAAATAACTTGTTATTATCTCACAGACTTATATATGGAAGGAACTTATCTCCAGGTGAGACTTTGGAATTGTAATTAGGGAATTAGGACTTTTGAGTTAATGCTGGAACAAGTTAAGACCTCAGGGAACTTTTGTGAAGGCATGATTGTATTTTGAAATGCGAGGAGGATATGAGATTTAGGGGGACAGGAATGGATGAAATGTGACTCCCAGTGTTACAGGTGGGGCCTAGTGGGAGGTGAGTGGATAATGGGAGTGGATCTCTTATGAATGGCCTAGCCCCATCCCTTTGATAATGAGTGAGTTATTTCTCATTAAATTCAAGTGAGATCTGGTTGCTTAAATGTTTGGGACCTCACCGCTCTCACTCTGTCTCCCACTCTCAACATGTGATGTGCCCACTCCACTTTGCCCTCTACAAATTTTAAGTTTCCTGAGGCTTCAGCAGAAGCAGATGCCGGTGTCACACTTCCTGTACACCCTGCAGGACCCTGAGCCAATTAAACCTTTTTTCTTTATTAATTACCTAGTCTTTGGTATTCCTTTATTGCAATGCAAATGGACTAATACCATTTAACCCCTTTTCATTGTGGTTTTCTCAACTATAAAACTGAGTGAATGATAACCACCTCTCTTGGTTATTTTGAGATTTAGACATGAATATAAGGTACCTTGTGCAGCACACTTTAGTGGAAATAGTAGGTGCTAAATAGTTGGAGTGGTGTCAGCATATCTCTTCCAATACCCACAAGTGATATTATCCATTTAATCCGTCTGTTGTATGCTCGCTGACTTCCTAAAATTAATAAAAGGAGCAAATATTCACTCGACAATGATAATCATGAGACAGTGTGTCATGTTAAGGTTTACAGAAAATTTTTTGTGCATACTTTTGCACAAATATGAGCAAATCATATTAAATCACCAAATATATATTTTCTAAAGTAGAAGGACTAGCTGCATTGGAACTATTTTGTATGAGGTTTGTATTAAAATTGACATTCCCAGATCCCATACTTACTGATTCAGAATTTTGTCTAAGGCCCATGGAGCTAGAAATATGGAATTTTCAGGTGCTTACATGTTGATTTTAATTTTTTCTGAGGTTTACATACTGCTGCTAAGTGAAGGTCACTCACTAAGCATGAGTATTAAATTTATTTGAAAAGTTCCCAGTGCATAGAATTATTCTCTGACCACATATATGGAGGTTTCTTTTCTTTTGAAAAATAAAATAGTCATGGGGAGTAAAAATGTGTGGAAGCCTGAAACTAACAAATCCATAGCCAACAGTGTCATATTTGTTTACAAAAATCCTGGTTGAAATGCAATTATGTGGTACTTGGAGGTGCTTGTAATTCAATGCCGGAATGCCTTTCTTTCTTGTCCCCACCACCAACCCAACGGGGTCAGTTTCCCTCAGTTCATGGTCCTTTCACATCATGAGTTCTTATATCCACATACCTTTAGGAACCATAGAATTATTTATTCATTAACAAGGCTTATTTTCTGAGGCTAGCCCTTGACCATGAAATCCCTTCTGCTTGAATGTTAGACCAGGAGATTGCTGTCCATACATAAATGGTTTTATGGTTCACATTATTTTCAGAAGAACTAGAAAAGCTTGCAAAGACAACCCAGTCAACAGAGCCTGTGCTCTCTTACAGATTTTTTGTCACATTCCTGGAGCAGCAATTTTCCAGAGAGTGTTTCAAGGTAAAACAAGCTCAGGTGATCATTGAAGCATTTTTGTGTTGAGCACTAGGGATCAGGGTCTTCCTCCTATGTAGAACTAAGCCAACTCAGCGAGCTCCTATGAAAAGACAAAAGGGAAAACACTACAGCTGAATTGGGACTACCCTCTCTGCCCATGCTTCACACAAGCATACACGTGTCCACTACTGCTGAACACGGCATTTCTGAATGTCTTCTGAGATTCATGAAAAGCCTGGTCTTACTGTTCTTATTCACTGACACTTCAATCAAAACGATCAACTTACCTGTATTGCAGTCCAGATACTGCATGAGTTGTTCTGACCCAAAATTTTAGCAGATGTCTACCAATCCCATTTTATCTTCTCCTTAGGTGCAAAAATCAACTGTATTCTCTAGCCTTCCTAGCAAAGAGACATGGCTGTAAGCCTGAGTCTTAGCCAATAGAATTAAACAGAAGGGATGTGTGTCACTGAGCTGGCTCATAAACAGCCTTCTATACCATATTCTCTATATTCTTTCTCTATCCAGTGGCTTCACACATAGCTGTATAGGAAGCTATGTGTTAAAGATAATGAAGCCAAAAAAAACCCTACCAAGTTCTTGAATCACCACTTGAAGAACAGCGCACTGAACAATAATATCTATTTTATATGTGCAAGAAATACACTTCTATTCTACTAAAGAATTGCAATTTTAGCTTTATTTGGTATGGTGGTAGCACTACCCTAATACATAAACCTACCATAGGAGTATATTGTATGTTAGAAAGAAACCAGTTATAGCCACCAATGAATCCTCCAAAACACACTTCCAACTCAAATGCACACAAAAAAGTTTTACATAGTTCTCACATTAAGAATTCTTTTTCCCATAGTTTACTTATCACTGAGAAAGGAATTCAGTTTTAAAATAATAATAATCCTTGATAAGAGTTTACAAAACCTTTGCACACTGTCCTCAGATAAAGATGACAGAAAACATTATCTCCAAGAGGAGATAAAATGACATTTCCAAAATAACCCTGGTTAAGTGAAGAAACTAGAAATCAGACCTTGGTCTTCTGACTCCAGATGAGACCAATATTGTAGAATTCAGACTTTGGTCTTTTGATTCTTTCCCTCAAACCAACTTTGTCCTTTGCACTCTTGATGAAAACTTGTAGCCACTTCTCATAGAGAGCAAAATCAGTTCAAGCCTGTTTGCCATAAGGCAAATATATACACAAAACACTCCTATTTAGTGTTGGGGTCTATTTGTAACTTGAATAGAAACCAGGCATTGAGAATTCCTTGCCTCCTCCTAAAAGTCGATGAGGTCCTATTTCTAACTCCTAAGTGCCTTTTTGAGTTTCTAGTGTTGTCTTAAAAATCATCTGGTCTGATTTCAGGCTCCTAATTCCAAACTCTGACTCCCAAATCATATTGTACTTGCCTCAAGCCAACATCCTGTTTCTAAAGCGATTTCATTTCATTTAACCAAGTTTTCTCAGTTGAAATTACCTGATTTTGAATCTTTTCTCATGTAAGCGGTCAGAACAAATGTAAGCAACCCAGTCTGTTTTGCTGAGATCCAGTAGAATGACCACAGCTGTATTTGTTCTGATTCTAGACTCAGAAGAACATTTCTGTCTGTCACTAATTTTTCACTTCCCTTAAAACTTCTGCTGGCAAAGGATGAGATGTTAGTTTGTGTTGTTCCACAGACATTTTTCTTAAGCCCAACAAATTTTCTCTCCATGAGTTGCATTGACTTCTTAGCAGACTCTAGGATAATCCATCCCACTGGAACACCCACTCTGCATGTCAGTGTGAGAGCAGCCCTAGCATGCCAGCGCGATCATGATAATTTACAGCTGAGGTTGCTGCATTCTGGCCCTTTTAATGTAACTGTGCGTGTACAAGTATAAATATGCCCAGAGATGAGGAAAATGTGCTCATTATTTTATTGCATTATTCTACAATGTACATCTTGTCTCTCCAGGCACTGAAAATAGCCTAAGTAAACCACAAATAAGATAAGTCCTGTGATCATCAAAATGAGGACACAATCTAGAATATGACTTTGGTTTGTGGTTGAGTATGTTTGAGTGGAAGATCTGTTTCATCTTGAGACTGTTTCTTTTATGTTTTATTTAAATTAATTACACATGGAAATACTTCTACAATGAGATATGGTGATGATTTCCTAAGAACAAAGTGGGGTGGAAATCCCTGGCTTTATCTGGGGGGCATTTGATGTGAAATTACTTCACTTTTTATTTAGTTATAACTCTGAAATCCAGCAACGACAATGAAATGCTGCATGTGACAATTCTCACTGTCAATCTTGTTTTCTCTTGTTCAAAAAGAAGAAAAGAAAGAAGAAAATGAACAAAAATCAGTACTGGAATGATAGAAAGGTCAATTTAAAAATATATATTGTATGATCCAGGTAATTGGGCTTGCCAATCATAGTTTCCTTTCTCATTTATTACATTATTTAGTGTCTATTAAGCATCCTTAACTCACAATATGTTATTTACCACATAAGAAAGGCATGGATAGTTTACACACTAAGTGGAATACAAGTTCCTATTTTATGCTTTGTAAATATAGTTTCTAAAAGCATTAGGTCCCACTTTGAAATGCCTATGTGAGCCATATATGGGGTGAATGTTTCATGTCTAAGATAAAGAGACAAAGCATTGAACCGCACAAAGCTTGAAGGGAAAAGATGTTCAGAGAACCAGACTGGACACCCAGTAAGAAGAAAATAGCCAAATTATTTCATTAATATATTTCCTTAATTATCATAAACAATAAAAAGACTAAAGAGAATTGCTAGGCTTAAACAGGGCATAGGTGTACCATAATTAATTGTTGAATGAATGCATGGAGGGATGAATTGATGAATAATTGGATGAAAAGAGACAGATTACTGCTGCTGGGTAGGTCCATGTCTGAGCTGATGTCAAATGTGGTGATAGAGCTATGAGGAAATTTCCTATGGAGACCTTGCTGAGGCGGAAGGGGACCAACGTGATGGTTATCATCAGTATTGAGCTCTCACAAATCTAAATAAATTTCTTTCCATGAAAAATATCTACTATTTTTCCTTACATGACCCTTTACAATGACATTCTGGGAGAAGAAGACTTCATAGAGGAAAGTGTTGACATCTTCTTCCATAAAAAAGTAAATGTCTGAAGGAATGAGGTTTGGTGAGTGTCACCATCAGAAATATCCATGGTGACACAATGAGAGACTACTCTATACTGGTTAGGATGATTATCTTAAATAGAAAAAGAAAGAAAATAGTAAGTGTTGGTGAAGGTGTGGAGGACTTTGAATTTATGTGCATTGATCATGAAAATATAAACAATGTGCCCATTTGAAAAAAGGATGGTGATTCTTTAAAAACTTTAAACCTATAATTACTGTACAATATAGGAATTCTATTTCCGGGTATATACCTAAAAGAACTGAAAGCAAGGACTCGGGTATTTACACACTGATGTTCACAGCCACATAATTCACAATAGTTAAAAAGTAGAAGCAACCTAAATGTTCATTAATAGATGAATGGATAAGCAAAATGTGGCAGATAAATATAGGGAATATTATTCAGCCATAAAAAAGAAGAAAATTTTGACACACAATACAACATGGGAAAATCTTGAAGACATTATTTTACATGAAATAAGCCAGTCACACAAAAAGACAAATACTGCATGATTCTACTTACATGAAATAACTACAGTAGTCAAATTCAGAGACAGAAATTAGAAGGGTGGTTTCTTGGGGTTGGAAAGTGTGGGATAGGGAGGGAGGAATGTGGAGTTAGTGTTTAGTGGGCACAGATCTTTGTTTGGGAAAGATAAGGTTCTAGAAAAAGATGGTGGTGAGGGTTCACAATGTAAATGTACTTAATGCCACAAAATGAAACACTGAAAAGTTATGTGTATTTTACCATTATAAAAATAAATATTCATTAGAGCAAAAGTACAATTATGCTATTAAGTACTCTACCTGAAGAAATCCACAAACTATGAGAAAAAGACTAAGATTTAATGACCTTTGTAAGAGTCACTGGATCTTTGCGTTTTCTTCTTAACACTTTTTCTCTTTGACCTCACATATTATTAATCACAGAAAAAAACTGAAAATTCTAATGCATTGTTTGTTGATCTTTAGAAGGAAGAAAACTGCCAGACTCTCTTTAACACTGAAACAAGCAAAAAAAGGCAGAAAATGCTGAAGGAATTCGTAACTGTTCTTATAGACAAAAAGGAAAAGAAAACTAACACTAGAACACTATGACAAGAACGTAACAGTACTGGACGACATCATGTTTTACATGACTTTTCAATAACAGTTCAGATAGAGCCTATAAGAGACCAAAGCCTCATGATCAGGAGAAATAGGAGCAGAAGGAAGAAAAAGGGCACGGAAGAAGCACAACATATAACTGAGCTCTGGCAGATCCACCAGCTCTTTGCTGTATCTCAGTTGTATCATTCTTCCACACTAAATTCTATTTAGAAGTGTTTGTGCCCATCTTGCCTACTAGGCTTGGAATTCCCTCAGTTGGCATGTAGTAGACATTCAATAAACATATGCTGAGGAAATGCATGATGAATAAATAAATATGTGAATATGCTAACATCAGTTGGAATTCAATTCAATCCATAAAACCTTTTAAGTGCCTTTGATGTGCAGTGAATGTTCTTCTCCAGGAATTACAGTGTATCAGGCAAGCCAAATACATAAATAATTAATAGTAGTGGACTCTGATAAATGTATAATAGAGTTGAAAAGAAGTTAAAAAAAAAGGAAGACCACAGGAAGGCTGTTCAGAGGAGGTTAGATTTTAATGGGCCTTTGAAAAATGGGAAGATTCTGGATGGTAGCTAAGAAGCAATTCGAATCCTGGAAAGGAGGAAAGACCAGTGTGCTTTAGGACACAGAAGCAGGAAATATACAAGCTGTCATTGGAGAACTGCAAATACATTTTGTAGTCTCATAGAATTAAGAATGTATTAATGAAGGTCTCTCTGGAATTTGTGGAAAATTGTAAAAATTGAGTTAGAAGCATGAGAAACTATGTTATTTTTCACAT